CCATTCCTTCTCCAGTAGTGAAACTGTTGAATGATTGACGGGAGCTCTGTCAGGCAGCATTTAATTTTTGAAATTATTTTTTTCAAACTAGCATAGACACTTTTGCCAGTAGACAGTGAGCCCAATTTGGCTAATCTGTTGGTGTCCGTAATATGCTGCTTGTAGTCCATGGCAGACACCCCAGGAAGACATTCCAAAGACACAAGATGAGAGGATGTTGGGGTGGTCAATACTGCACAGTTCACGTGCAGTTTTCTGGGCTTTCCACTGCACAGAACATCTTCATATCTGAGAGGAAGCCAAGCTCCCCCACCATTCTATAAACTGTAGTCAAGCTTTTTGGTAGAATCTCGGAAGTAGTGTTAGATATTGTTTTCAACCTACTCTGAAGTAGAGACCTTCTCTCTCCATTTTTGTAGATGCTTTTGTCTCTCTATCTATATATTTGTCTCCAAAACTTCTTTTTTTTATTTTTTGATCCTTATTCTTTTCGGTGCTATATTGCATGGCAACATCCAAGTAGCATTGAAGTGTACTGTCCTCAAGGCCATTTATATAGCTCTGTTCATTATTTGTTTTGATGTTGCTTATGCTGAAGACAAGCATTTCGAGGTACTTTTTATTTTTCACTGTATTCTCCAATCACACTTTCAATCTCCATTAAAAATTTAAATCGTTATTTAATTTTAAAAGAAGACATTTACCTTTTTGTGCTGAAAAGTAAACTTTAAAAAAAGAGACAGCGGGTCGTAACAGCAGTGACATTTGACTGTGCCGATAGATGCTGCTGTCATCATGTATTGACAGCTTACGAATCCTTAATTCATCGTATGGATGGACAAAAGTGATATAATTTAGCTTTTTAATGAACCAACTTAGTTAACCATTTTTCCTTTAAATAACTGGTTAACTGGAGCATGGTCAGTTAAGCAGCATTTTATCCTTGCCCGTATCTGTAAACTGTCATCAACACTTTGGCCAGTAACCATTGAGCCTACTTCAGCCAAGTTGTTGATGCAGTCACAGATATGCTGCTTGTAGTCAACTGCAGTCCCTCCCGGAAGTCTGTCCAATGAGACAAGATGAGAAATTGACAGGGTTGTTAAAACATAGGTGACGTGACTTCCTTCCTATGTTGTCGGGTCAAAAACTAAGTTGCAGTTTTCTACATTCATAACAGATGAAAAAGTCTTAACATCTGAAAAAAATAACAGTTCTCCTACCATTCTGTACACGAATGTCGATGAAAATTTTATATATGAAGGTGGCAGAGAAAGTTTTTTTTTTTTTTTTTTTTTTTTAGAGACTGTAACAGTTCACTAACATGAGATGCAAGAACAGCATTCAAGAGGCAGTCATAATGAGCTTCTCTTGAAGTGAATTTATTACTTCAATGCACTAACTTCCACAGTCTTCCAATAGTTTCTGCTTAATGGAATGCTCATAGTATTCTCTATTTCTAAGTAAAATAAATTCATTTATAGTTTTATTTTTTTAAATTTTTTATTGAAGTTTTGTCGTCTTCCTTGTTGCTGGAGTCTGTGATGATGACCAAATTATCAGTTGGCAAGTATGGTTCCGTTTCCGGCGAATTTGGTGGTAGTGTTATTATGTCAGGTTCGTACTCCATGGGTTGAAATACCCAGCAGTCAGTAACCGCTCATTGGTGCATCACACAGTACTGTGCGTCTTGGTTTGGATCCATCACACAGCCTGGATTGGTCTGTATAACTTCCTTATCTTCCAAAAGTTTATTCAAGTTCTTTTTAGCTTTTTGCGTGGCTTCTTTTCTGGACTGTAGTTGTCAGACGCTAAGTATAGAAATTTTGTTGAAGTCTGCCATTGATTATGTTCATTTATATATTCTGTATCTATCTTATAATCAATATAATTGACTATGTGATCCCTCCATCTGGTTAACCACATAGTCGGGTTGAGCTCTATAGCACCCCATTCTATCAGCTGTCGTATCGGTCTTTTGGTTTGATAATAGTACAATCGATTCTGTATTGCTTCAGCTTCTCCCATGACGTGTCACCACGGATTGTCGTTGCTCGTTAAAAGGGACGGGTTTCATTTTAGTAGACATTCATTTTGATGTTTAATATTTCTGAATGTCTCTGTCCCTCCAAGATGTACTTTCCTTCCTCAACGTTTTGAGGTGTAAACCACATCTTGTCGGTGTATATCAATGTCTTGTCGATGCAAGAACCGAATGTAAATTTGTCACTCGCTTGACATCGCATTCTTCCACAGTTCATTAGGCTGTTCCTGATGGAACATAAAATGTAGGATTTACCTGAGTTCGATATACCAGTGATGTGCTGGCCATTGATCTTGTGGCATACTTCAAAAGTTCTCTTTCCAAATTCCTCTGGGTGAGATTCCGTAGAATGTGCACCATTCCTTGTATATGTTCAGAGACATCTGAACGTCCCAGTAACAATTTCGTTCAATGGTGAAATGCTCAGATTTCTGTCGGATCTGTTCTCAGATCGGTGTAAACCTTAGTTTCTATGTTGATGTCAGACACAGCAGCGGAGATGTTATTTAAGTTTGGAGTATTTCTGAAGATATTCTCTCTCAAAGTAGGCACACAACCTGTATGGGTTGTATACCTTAGGACAAGTTACTGTGTACGAGTGCTCTAGACGCTTGTTCAAAAAATTTTCCCATATAATAAAGCTGTGTTCACTTGTGGGATGTCCGTTATACCAAGTGATCATGTGAAAGTGGTCGATGTCTGAACAATTCTTCAGCTTCAACTCACTTGCTGTGTGGTATATGACGATGTGTGCTCTGTTAGGTAGGTGCAAAAATAATGTCGTTTTTTGACGTTCAACTTCAAAAGATCATAACTCCTTTCATAATAAACTTTATTAATCGAAATAAGAACCATTAGAATCAACACATTTTTGCCAACAGGAAACAAGTTTATTTATCCCATTAGCATAGAAATCCGGAGTTCTGGAAGCGATGAAGTCATTGAAGGCCGATTCAGCATCATCTCGGCTTTTTGAAGCATTTTTCACGCAGGAAGTTGTCGAGATGCTTGAAAAAGTGATAATTGGTGGGCGAGAGGTCTGGTGAATATGGTGGACGAGGCAGAGTCTCGTAGCCCAATTCGTTCAGCTTCTGCATGGTCAGTTGAGCAACATGCGGGCGAGCGTTGTCATGGAGGAGAATTGGTCCCTTCATATTGACCAATCTCGACCACATGCGTTGGAGCTTCTGGTGCGTTTCGTCAATTTGTCGGCAGTACTTCTCCACCGTCATCATTTCGCCCGGATTCAAGAAGCTGTGATGGATGAGACCAGCCGCAGACCACCAAACAGTCACCATAATAGGTGTTTTGCTTTGATAGCTCCCCTTGCAACTGATCCAAGAATTCCTGTTCCTTCAGTATCCTTGTAGAATTGTTCATCCGCCTCTGCAGTACTTACCTCTTTTTTTGTTGTATAAGAAATTGTGTTTTTTCCCTGCAGCATCGAACTTATTTAATGGCGGTAGATAGTTTAATTTTTCTAAATCAGTTCCAGGGCCTAGGTATCTGTGACCAGGTACTGTAAATGATTATGGGAAGACTTTTGCTGTTTTATGTCTGTCTCGGGGTTGTACAGGTGGCCTAATGAATGTCGTTATTCAACATTGTAGTCTAAATATACTAGTGATGCAATATTGATGACGTCATTTCTGGTTAGAAAATACTTATTTATTTTAACACAGTCGCAGGTGTATAATTATAGTATGCACATTATACTTCTTGGACGGGCAGACAGGCAAGGCATGCTATCTTTACCGCCCAACGCCTGTGACGTCTCAGTAAAATTAAATTTAATTCATGAAGTAAACGTCACAGGCGTCGTCGGGCGGTAAGGATAGTATGGCCAACTATATCAGCACTTAACATTTTGTAAATGTCATCTACAAAATCTTTGGAAAAGTCATGGCAGAATTGGTGTGCTGTATATCCTTTTTATCTGTAAATGACACCCCCCTCCTTTTTTATGCTCTCTGCTTTTCTTGACTTCTTTTAATGATCTCTGCATCTAAAATTTCCTTTTTCATACATAGCTCTTAACTTATTTTTCCAAGTAGTGTTGTATCGATCTATGTGTTTTCTCAGATTGTTAGCCACATGATCGGGTTTAGTTTGATGGCTCCCCATTCTTTGAGTTGTGGCATGGGTTGATATGTATTGAATATGAACACTCGATTGTTCATCACTTCTTTTCTCCCCTGAACGTGTCTCCACGGATCATCGTTGGAAGTAGACAAAGAGGGCGTCCCTCGCAGCAACCGCTCATTCTGATGTTTCACGCTGACGTATGTCTCAGTCCCTTCAATATACAATTTCCCTCCTCAACGTTTTGTGGCGTAAACCACAATTCGTCAGTGTAGATAAGTGTTTTGTCGACACAGCTCCCATATGTGAAGTTGTCGGAAGCTTGACAACGCATCCTACCGCAATTCATGAACCCATTATGTATAGATCTCAGAACGTAGCTTTTTCCACTATTGGAAACTCCAGTGATGTGTAAGCTGTTTATCTTCGCTCGAATTTTATGACACACTTCAATGTTTTTCTACCAAATCCTTGATGTCGATGTTATGATGTTTACTCCAACTCTAATAGATATTTAGTGATGTTTGCATGTCCCAATATCTATTTCAGTCCATGTCAAAGAAGTCCTTTTTCTGACGTATTTGCTCCCATACTGGTGTAACCTTAGTTTCGACATTCATGTCAGTAGCTGCTGCCTGTATGATAAGTTGCGGTGTGTTACGGAAGATATGTTCCCAGTCTTCTTTAATTTTTGTATTTGCTGTATTCTGACAATATATCATTATATCCACAATGTCTGTTGAATTGCATTTTTTCCTCATTTTTATGATGAAGTCGTATTTTTTTCCACGAATTTTTTTTTTTTTTTTTTTAGAAGCATTGTAAGGGTTATCTGTATCTTCTTCCTTTTCTAATCACCGATGGCCTGTTTGGCCTATTCCTGAACCACGGGGTCCGGGATGGAAGGAAGGATGCCATTAATGTAATCGGTTATTCCCTGCTCGGTTTCTGTCTCGATGTGTTCGTACGGCTGGGGCTCAGCCATGACCTGCTCCTCATCTGTTGGGACCGGTCCGATCCTCTGGGCGATGAGACGCCACCTTTTAGACTGTACGGCCAAGAAGGAGAGGCGCCTGTTAGAGGACTTTAATCTCTTCAGCTGACCATTTGCGACCGGCCTTCCTCCGGAGCTTTCGAAGTCTCCACTAGTTGGGTAGTTGCTCCTGGGGCTGTCGGGAACAGCTCGTGCCCAGCCACCATCCGGGCCGGGACATTGGGCTTCACTTTCAAGAGATTTCAGGATGGCTTTATAGTCGTCCTTCTTCCGCCTGCAGCTGATCTGATCCTTACGGCGTGCTAGGTAAGGTGCTATGTACGAATTCACATTTCGCACGCCTTTGGGCAACGCCTCGCGCTCTATCACAGCCATACACTCCAACTCACCTCGGGACCACCAAGCGTAGGTGCGGGCATTCGAGCGACGTGTGGCGTCGCGGCTTTTCTTTATATTGTTCCATTCGGCAGGATGTTTTTTTCCATAGATGGGCGGCGAGGCTGGCTGCTCGCGTAAAAGTGCACGGGCAAACAGGGCAGCTCCCACGGGGGTTGTGCAAGTCTTCCGGATCAGCAAGGAAGTTTGTTGAAGTTTTGGTATCCCACGTCTCGTGGGTGGATGTTGAGACTAATTTTATGTTTTCTGTACCAGGTGTATACAATCCCAGGGGGATGGCAACCCCACAGGGATCGGTGCATTGAGTAAGCACGGCCACCCCACATTTATTGTCTGCAGACAACATCTGGACTCTTAGCCAGCCCAGCGGCTGATACCAGCTGGACCCTATGGGAGGAGGACCAGCATTAAGCTCCCCATTAGGAGTCATAGTTACTCCCGCCCATATTTTTTTTTTTTTTCCTTTAATTAAAATTGTGGTCTCTTTCGAGGACGTTTGCTTCCTAGATATTTTTTGGCATAAACCACATTTTGTCTGTGTAAATTGATGTTTTGTCTACACAAGACCCAAACGTGAAATTCTCTGAAGCTGTACAATGCATCCTTCCACTGTTCATCAATCCATTGTTTATCAACCTTAGATTTACCACTGTTTGATACTCGCGTGATTTGCAAAAACATTTATTTTTGGTCTAATTTTGTGGCAAACCTTGAAGCTTTCCTTACTAAATTTATTTAGGTAGTGTATATGTATGTATGTATGTATGTGTGTGTGTGTATATATATATATATATATATATATATATATATATATATATATATATATATATATATATATATATAAGGAAAAAAAATAATATGGATTGTTTCTCAAAGGCATTATGAAAATAACTTAAGAAATAAGAGATGATAACTCTCACAAACAAACAGACCAACCGGTTTCGTTCCCAAGCTCATCAGGGTCAACTGGGAACTATTTTTCAAAATTGCAAAATAAATAAGTCACACAAACAACCTACATACAATTAAAACGTAAAATGAAAGATTAATGGTATGGAGGGGGGGGACCTTTCTTTTCTTCCTCTTTCTTTAACTTATACACATATATATATATATATATATATATTCCTTCCTGTTTTTTTTTTTTAAGCTGTGCAAATATACACAATAAACGAGAGAAGGAAAAAAAAAAAAAAAATATATGTATATATAACGGAGTGTGAGGGGAAAATTTGAAGCACACTAGAGAATAATGACGTGAAGGCCAAGGAGACAATCTCTTTGCTTACACAAAGATGGCTCCCTGGACCAAATATATAGAGACTCAAGTGCCTTCAAATGGAAAAGAGAGTGCGAACTAGATAGAACAGTGAACCAGTTCGTACTGAAGTTCTTCGCACAATACCTGCAATTTATTAGGTGCTCCGTAATCGCTGAACCGGAAGTGTTAACCAACTGACTCCTAGGAGCTTCCGGATTGAGAACTCGTAATGGGACATGCTGCCTGATCCTACAATCTAGACGCTGGGATGTCCTTCCTATGTAGTTGCTACCGCAACCACATTTAAAAAAATAAATCACGGAAGAAACATGATGGGGGGGAAGAGGATCCTTGCGCATAGAGGGAAAGGCAGAACGGGTCGCAAAATGAATAATTAATTGAGCTGAGAAAAAACAGTCATGGACGGCTGACAAGATACGCTTAGCCAAAAGCTCACCTCGAGAACCAATGAATGGAAGCCGTAGATAAACAGGGCATTTCTGAACACTGTATTGTTTTTCCTTTCGAAAGTTATTAATTTTATCACGCATAACCGCATGAAGAATATCATTAGGATATCCATTGCGTAATAGAATGTAGCGGATAAAATTAAATTCTTCATCCAAAAATTCGTCGCTGCAAATCATCAAGGCCCTATGAGTTAGGGTCTTGATCAGATTGATTTTGCGTTTAATGGGACAGAATGAGTCCCAACGCGTATACAGACCTGAAAACGTTGGTTTCCGAAACACTGCTGTAACAAATTGAGAAGGGGTCCGATGCACAAGTACATCAAGAAAAGAGAGACACGAGTTGGACTCCTTTTCAATGGTGAATTTTAGGGACGGATGAAGTTGATTCATAACTGTAAGAAAAGAGTCAGCTTCCACTTCATTATTAAAAAGACAAAATCTATCGTCCACATATCGCTGATACATAGACGGTGCATTGTCGTGAGTGAGGAGGGACGACTCATAAAAAGCCGATAAAAATGTTGGCCATAGCGGGACCCAAAGGAGAGCCCATAGCTACCCCATCTATCTGTCTGTACATGATATTGTTGAAGCTAAACTCCACAGACATAGTAGCAAATTTCATAAGCTCAACAAAAACCATTTCAGGGATATCCGGAGGTGACAAACTACTTCGATATAACATGTTGCAACAGATATCAATCGTTTCCAACACGGGAACACAGGTAAACAGAGAGCATACGTCAAACGAACACATAAATTTATTTTTTGAAGGAGTATCACGAATAATCTGAGCAAACGAAAAGGAATCTTTAATCGTATACGCACTGAAGTGTTCAACAACAGGTTGAAGAAGGTTTGAAAGAAAACTTGCAACCTTATGTTGAGACGAGCCAGTCATGGACAGGATGGGTCGGAGGGGTACATTTTCCTTATGAATTTTGGGAAGGCCATATAGACGAGGACGAATAGATCCAACAGGTCTAATATCATCCATGATTTCACGAGGTAATAACCCACGTTTGGCCCAAGATAAAAGTTTCTTTTGAAACTTAATTTCTAAAGGAACAGTACGATCATGTGTCTCCACTGGACCAAGAGGAAGAAATTTAGTAGTGTCGCTAATAATGTTTTGCATTTTAGAGACATACTCAGAGTGATCCAGTAGAACAATACCAGCCCCCTTATCTGGACGAGTAATTACCAAGTTATTATTTGCCTGTAAATTCCTGACTACAGAACGATGCTGCTGACTCCACTTAGACTCAGAAAGGGCTACGGAGTTAGCGCATAAGTATGCGCAGAGCTGTTGAGAGTAGCCTTCAAATTAGAAAGCAAGTCAGCAGAACGAGGCACCAATCTACACAACTGCGCAGATAGCACTTCAAATTCGGAAAAATTTTTTCCTTATCAGGAATCTTAAATGGTATACAATGATCTAAGCCATGCGAAAGTATACTAGATTCTAGCTCAGTAAGCTCAAATGTTAGACAGGTTGGTGATAACTCCAGAAATTGGTTCAGTAATATGCCCAAAGCGTTTACTGATTAAATGCTGCAACTTAGATTGTTTGTCACTCAATAATTTTCTTGAGGATTTGGATTGAATAAAGCCCACATAACGATAGAACCTAATCCTATCAAAAAATGAAAGGTCGGTTACACATTCTCTATAAAGTACAGCAAGATTACGAGTAAGTAGATGTATTCTATTTGTATAGAATTGAATAGAGTCCCTCATAAAAATCTCCTCAATTTTTAAGCCTGGATTCAGTTTAGCACTCCTAATTCTAAACAAAAAAGAGGAGGGACAAACATGATTATCTATACAGGCCTGAAGAAATTTACAATTACTTATCAAAATTCTCAATCTTGCCTTGATAAGAAGAATTTTATCAAGTTTTTTGATAACGTCTCCATGATACCCCGCTTGAAATATTTAAATAAATTATTGGAGGTGCAAAACCGTAATATTGCAAGGAAAAAATAATATGGATTGTTTCTCAAAGGCATTATGAAAATAACTTAAGAAATAAGAGATGATAACTCTCACAAACAAACAGACCAACCGGTTTTAGTTCCCAAGCTCATCAGGGTCAACTGGGAACTATTTTTCAAAATTGCAAAATAACCAACCACAATCTAGACGCTGGGATGTCCTTCCTATGTAGCTGCTACCGCAACCACAATCTAGACGCTGGGATGTCCTTCCTATGTAGCTGCTACATAATTACAATCTAGGCTAGGCTGGGATGTCCTTCCTATGTAGCTGCTACCGCAACCATATAAATGTGGTTGCGGTAGCAGCTTCACAGGGAAGGACATCCCAAGCGTCTAGATTGTAGGATCAAACAGCATGTCCCATTACGAGTTCTCAATCCGGAAGCTCCTAGGAGTCAGTTGGTTAACACTTCCGGTTCAGCGATTACGGAGCGCCTAATAAATTGCAGGGATTGTGCGAAGAACTTCAGTACGAATTGGTTCACTGTTCTATCTAGTTCGCACTCACTTTTCCATTTGAAGGCACTTGAGTCTCTATATATTCGGTCCAGGGAGCCATCTTTGTGTAAGCAAAGAGATTGTCTCCTTGGCCTTCACGTCATTATTCTCTAGTGTGCTTCAAATTTTCCCCTCACACTCCGTTATATATACATATATAGGTTTTTTTTTTTTTTTTTTTTCCCCCCTTCTCTCGTTTATTGTGTATATTTGCACAGCTTAAAAAAAGAAAACAGGAAGGAATATATATATATATGTGTATAAGTTAAAGAAAGAGGAAGAAAAGAAAAATTATTATTATTTTTTTTTTTTTTTCCCCCCTCCATACCATTAATCTTTCATTTTTACGTTTTAATTGTATGTAGGTTGTTTGTGTGACTTATTTATTTTGCAATTTTGAAAAATAGTTCCCAGTTGACCCTGATGAGCTTGGGAACGAAACCGGTTGGTCTGTTTGTTTGTGAGAGTTATCATCTCTTATTTCTTAAGTTATTTTCATAATGCCTTTGAGAAACAATCCATATTATTTTTCCTTGCAATATTACGGTTTTGCACCTCCAATAATTTATTTAAATATATATATATATATATATATATATATATATATATATATATAATACAGACCAGCTTAGCTGTGATGAATTAAAGCTTGTGCACAGATGCGTGTATACCAGCTTAGTCTGAAATATTTGTCCAAACCTGTAGTGTGCTTGAGTTTGATGCACGCTCTAGCGACATATCTCAGCAGTCCAGTACCTTCTGTGTTTTCATAGAATTTCTTGTCAGCATGTTCAGTAGATATGTATTTGTTTGCATAATGTAAGTCATGTATTTTAGCACCCTTTCGAGGTACATGAAATATTGAGGATCTGAAAAACTCATTACAAATCCTTCATATTGATTGTCTAAGTATGCTGTATTAATTTGCTGACTATATCACCAGTTAATATTTTTTTGAGTACTTTCAACAATTATCATGTTCGTAGTTTGGAAATTCTTTCTTGATAGGTGAAATTGTGTAGTTTAGTAATTTCTTCAGTTTCCAAAAAAGGGGGAGGATGACGTGTAACCAATTTCCTCGGTATCTAGTAAAGTATATCTTTGGAAGATTTTCTGCTTTCAAGAATTGTATCATAGATTGGACATTGCCGAATTTGTCATTATATCTCGGTGAGTTTGTTCTAATGATAACCCTCCA